CATTTATTTATTTTCACATTTATTTATTTCTACCTTTCTTTGTCCGTAGGGTAATGAGGAGGGCGTGTTTTACCTCAGGAATAGCAATCGAGCCAGAGTAGGCGAGGGGTAAGCTTTGAGGCCACAGTGTGACACCTTGTGGGGCCAAAACGAAGTACAAGAAGTGTAAGCCTAAATGACGTGCCTGTTGATAGTGTGGGATGAATGATTTAGATGGGCAATATGGCCAAAATCTTATATCAGAGGACAGGTTATTATTTCAATTTCATGTGGGGGTTTGTTTCGGCTGGGAAGCGTGCAATCTGTGATCGCGTGCATTTGCTGAAGCTAGCAAAAGCCTGCAATCGCTTTCTTTTGCACGCTGTTTTTTAGGTTTCACTTTCAACGCATACAACGCATGTTTCAAAGATTCGGGATAGAAGGAGGCACCAGTTACTGTTGAAGATTTGTCGCCTTGTGCCACTTCCCGTAATGGGTTCTCTTGAAGTAGCCTAAATTATGTCCGTGATTTCAAGATGATCAAGAATTATTTTTTTCCCGATCTGCAGTCTAATAAAAGTAAAAAAAAGTAGCCTATAGATCTATAGCCTACAGGCTAATTTCATTCTTTCTTAACTTTTAGCTTCTTCTTAAAATTTATTACGAAGACTTTTAAATCAACTTCATAACAAATAGGCTAGGCTAATGAATTTTCATCATAAGCAATATACGAACATAACGAAACCCCTAGCTATTCTATAAAACAAAATTTTCATACAAAAATCATAAATCACGAATATGACGAAATAAAATGATATATATAATCCCGAATCTTTGAAACATGCGTTGTATGCGTTGAAAGTGAAACCTAAAAAACAGCGTGCAAAAGAAAGCGATTGCAGGCTTTCTCGAGCTTCAGCAAATGCACTCGATCACAGATTGCACCCAGCCTAAACAACCCCCCACTTGAAATTTAAATAAGATTTTGGCCATTTTGCCCATCTAAATCATTCATCCCACACTATCAACAGGCACGTCATTTAGGCTTACACTTCTTGTACTTCGTCTGGGCACCACAAGGTGTCCCTGTGGCCTCAAAGCTTACCCCTCGCCTACTCTGGCTCGATTGCTATTCCTGAGGTAAAACACGCCCTTCTCATTACCCTACGGACAAAGAAATGTAGAAATAAATAAATGTGGAAATAAATAAATAAATACGTAAATAAATACATAAATGTGAAAATAAATAAAAGTGGAAATAAATAAATTTATAAATAAATAAAATAAAAAATAAATAAATGTGGAAGTAAATAAATACATAAATGTGAAAATAAATAAAAGTGGAAATAAATAAATGTATAAATAAATAAAAGAAAAAATAAATAAATGTAGAAATAAATAAATGTGGAAATAAATAAATACGTAAATAAAAACATAAATGTGAAAATAAATAAAAGTGGAAATAAATAAATGTATAAATAAATAAAAGAAAAAATAAATAAATGTGGAAAAAAATACATAGATAATGAAATAAAATTATAAATAATTATTTATATTTGCTTTTTTACTTTTCTTTGTATATTTATTTATTTATATTTTCTTTTTTACATTTCTTTGTACATTTCTTTATTTCTAATTATGGCAGGTATGGCATTCCATAGTTTATAGCCTGCCGAGCGTTCGCCTGCGCGTCAGAGTCTGCTCGCGCCCAACGCGTCCTTTCTCCTCTACCGAAGGATTATGTTTGATATTGATGCATTTGCTGAAATTTTCAGCATGTGTGAATATATATGTACAGCTCGTGTTTGCTTCTCTTGATGCAGATTATGTCAAGTAACTAGAGTAAAATGGATCTGTCTGATTCAGGACGAGTTTCATGCCAGAAAGTTTCATGCTAGCTAAAAATAAATAAATAAATAAAAATCCAAAAGTACAATGTGGGTGTTTGTGCACCTCACTATGTGGGATGTAGTAGGCTACGCTGTGTAAGAGGATAGTTTCACCGAGATGAATTAAAGGGATAGTTCACTAAAAATGAATGTCATCATTCATTCAGCCTGGTTGTTTTCCTACAGCAGCAGTGAATCTGTTCTATATCCACATTAGTTTGCAACACAGAATAAGCTTTTTTTCTGTAGGCCTAAATCCGCGATACTTCTGATTCGTTAGCCGCAGTTAAATAACTAGAAGAATAACAGAGTGCTGTAATCTGTAAAACTATTTGCCCTGCTAACCAGTCTGTTTATGATTAAGACATCATCATGCAGCATAACTGACTGTTTTTGCACAGCTAAAACAACTGGAAGCAAATGACACCGGAAGTCATTCAAGCTACAAATAGCCGCGTCCGTTCTTACATTAAAAATAAAAGAAGGAGAAGAAACTGTACAAACTTCATTGGTTCTTGAATGTAGCATGAAATTTATATATACATCTATATTCTCTCTCTCGATTTTGAAAGCTGATGGAGGGGTTTCTCAGTGAATAATTACTTAAATTTTGGTCTGTTTCTCACTAAATATTATTCAAAGGCATAAAATATAGTGTACCAGTCACATATTTTTATGGCGTTTTATGGATTGCTTGACAACAAATGGTCACTGTGTACATCAGTTGCATAGAAAATAGCAGCCTGAACATTTCGCAAAACATCTCATTTTATGTTCTACAGAAAAATGAAAGTCAGAAAGACTTGGAACAACATCTGGGTGAGTAAATGATCACAAATGCTTAATTTTTTATGAACTATTATTCCTTTAAAGACCAAAGCTAGGCATTTACAGTAGTGTGTACTTGTGCATTACAAACTCTTGATTCTTGTCTATGTTTTGATATTAAAGATCTTCAGTGAGTTTATATATGATCTAAATTGTCTTTATATCATCATAAAGCTCTGCTTGCACCAGGAGAATGCACAAATATTGGGACAGGACCTACATTTACCTACCAAAATACTCCTTTGGTGTCCAGCTCACTACAGTTATTTTAGTCACAGATCCTCACAGATGGACGCTCTAAAAAACTCTTTTCAGAAGGTCCATATGCGTTTTTACACTGGCACAACAGTCCATTTCACACAATTTTGATTAACCCATCGTTTTTAATTTTCAGATGTCTAGATCAGTTTATCTGATCATTTTATTCAGACACGGACCCTGTTTTGTATTGAGGAGACCAAAGCAGCATACATTCAGACAAGAGTCGACAATATTATGAAGGTAAAATGCAACCTAAAATTGTCATAATTTTTCACAATTTATTAATTGCAATGTTTTTTATTTATTTATTTGAAAACCTTGTGTGCTGTTTCATGAATTTTGTTTCAGTATTGTTTTTACTGTTTAAATTTAGCTTTAAAGCCTATAATAGGCTGTTTAATGTCAGATTTCATTGTAACAACTTACCCCATACAGTGTGACAATATTCCCCAGACATAGGGATTGATGTGTGTTAAATTAACTATATATTTTCCCCTCTCTCTTACCATGTTAGAAATGTTCACTGATAAAAATGATCATATTTTACTAGCTCCTGTGGTGAACTAATATTTACCCATATGGTTGCTTGGCACATTCTCTCATGCGTAACAAATGTTCACACAAGAATAGTATCAAGGAGTTCAATAAGTTGTATTACAGGAAGTAGATTTTTAATTCAATATTCATCTTAATGTAATATGCCATAATATATTTCTCGTAATGCCACGTTAAATATAAATAAACAAATAAATGTAATAAAAATAGGTTTTTTTTCTCTCTCACTGGTGGTTTTCACTGTCCATTAACATGGTTGGGGATTTCGGTTACACTTTACTTGAAGGGGTGTGCATAAGACTGACATGACACCTTCATAATCATGACATGACAGGTGTCATGTCAGTCTTATGCACACCCCTTCAAGTAAAGTGTTACCGGGATTTCTGACATTTAAATAGCTATTGGGTTTAAAAAGTGTTTGATGCACATTTTCAACATGAAATGATATGAGACCGGACTTAACGAGCAGCTGCTCTGGATTTACCTTTGAAAAAACAGTCAATTTTACTTGAATCCACACTTTTTTCCCGAGGTCACCTGTTGAGAAGGTGCAAATTGCATAAATGATTTCAAGCTGAGATCGTAACGCACACGCGCGCGCGCTCAATGTGTCTTTAGTGTGGATTTTTTCCATCTGTGTGTGCGCTTTGGTGATGCGCGCGCGCGCGTGTTTTTTTCTCAGGCTGGCACACTCTGAAGTCTGCCAGCGGACGCTTGCGGTGGCATACCGTGACAGTGCAGCTTTGCCGAAACGGAGCCAAATGAGAGTCGAGCCCATCCATCCATGCGTTGCCGGGGAAACAGATGGGCACGTTCGCGCTCGGACCTGTTGTTTGTAGGATCATCAAGCTCAGCGTTTCGGCAAAGCTACGGGAATAAGTGAGTTTTTCCTGGATTGGATCACGTTTGGAGCATCAGTCGTGCGCTGCGCGTCTCCGCCGCTCATCAGATGATGCTGCTGCGTGTTCACGGGTCCTCCTCCGGTACCACCGGCATTACTCACGCACCGGCGGAGTGAGAACAGCTGAAGATGATACTCAGATGAACAGGTCGGGGAAACTTTTTCTGGAAGATGTTCAGGGTAGTTTGGATATCTGATGGCCACGGCGATGAGTTTGTTTAAACGCAGTGGAGAAGGCAATTTAACAGGTGCGTAATTATCACTCGAGCATGAATCCCAGTGGCTTCTGGCGTCTTCTCCAGTTCAGAAGCTCTTTGGAGATCACGCGGGGAGCGCGCTAGTTGATGGCACTGCGCGCCGGGAGGACTTTGTTGTGGTTCGGGCAGGTTTTGCGCAGAGTTTCGCGGCTGCAGGGCTTGTGGTCCCGGCGCTCCAGCAGTCTGCTGTGTCTCTCCACCAGCCAGGACCACAATCAAGGGACCTGTTACAACCGCAACCGGTGTCCGAAGACGCATCAGCAGCAGCACTGCCCCTATCCGCCCTTTCCAGACTGCTGCTGCGCCTTCCCGGGGGATAAGAGGGGACATGAACCCCTCAGCCGCCGGTTCCTGGTGGCCATGAAGAGGCAGAACGTGCGGACGCTGTCCCTGATCGTCTGCACGTTCACCTATCTGCTGGTCGGGGCCGCGGTGTTTGACGCGCTCGAGTCGGACTTCGAGATGCGGGAAAAGGAGCAGCTGGAGGCTGAGGAGAAGCGCCTCCAGGGCAAGTACAACATCAGTGAGGTTGACTATAAAAAGCTGGAGACCATCATCATGGAGACCGAGCCGCACAGAGCAGGGGTCCAGTGGAAATTTGCAGGGTCCTTTTACTTTGCCATCACTGTCATAACCACCATAGGTGAGTTTCGGCTTCTTCTCCGCGTGTCTTTCACGCAAGGTGGCGAAAAGATTCTCGTTTGGATATAAACGTGTGGTTTATTAGAGCTGTTTGCACTTCGTATGGTGTGATGGACATCGCGTGGGGTACCTGGTTAATCATTTCAGCGGGAGGAAAAGTCCAGACTGGGGTTTGTCTGGTGAGATGAAGGGACGTTATTAGTGCAGGACTCTGAATGCGCAGAAAATCACTGTTATTATCATACCACAGGTGTGTCATTTGTTGCAGAAAGTCCAGGCCTGTAGTTTATGAGTTCTAAGGCGATTATTTGCATTGAAATACATTTCTAACCCAAGTGCTGAAATCGTCACTTTATGTAATGCGTAACCTGAGCTGTTTGACAAAATTGCTGTTGACATATATAATATCTATAATATATAAATAATGAGAAATTAACTCAATCAGAGATACAATACTGGAACACGCAAAACCCTGGCCTTCATCTGACCTCAGTGCCTGTGTTTGTGTGAAAGAGAGATTACTGAGCCACTCCAGCACCTTTCATGTCCTCATATGAACTGTCATGATGCCTGATCATAAAGACACATTATGAATGTTTTATGTCGTGTGGTGCTCATTCACAGTGACTCTTGTTTTGGTGAGCTGTTCTTTCAGCACCATGCCACAAGACAAACTTCACTGCTGTCCACACTATCACATATGCTGTGAACATAGATGCTCATGCCAAACTGACAGATGTTTTATATCTCAATGCACTAAACAACAATAAAGTAATTACTATTCCCAAATCTCTTTAACAATCATTATGCAATGCTTAACAGATCAGTAGCTCATGCACATAAAAATCTGAATATGAAAATCAAAATGACAGTTTAATGTTATTTCAAGCTATTTTAATGACATTAGATAATGAATTATATAATTTAATTACTTTATCGTTGTTTGTAATAGTGTTTGTTGTATGTTTGTCTTCGTTTGTTGTATGTAAGTGTGGACAGCAGTGAAGTTTGTCTTGTGGCGTGGTGCTGAAAGTACAGCGCACCAAAACAAGAGTCACTGTGAATGAGCATAATGAGTGAATGACATAAAACATTCATAATGCGTCTTTATGATCAGGCATCATGACAGTTCATATGAGGACATGAAAGGTGCTGGAGTGGCTCAGTAATCTCTCTTTCACACAAACACACGCACTGAGGTCAGATGAAGGCCAGGGTTTTGTCTGTTCCAGTCTTGTAGCACTGATTGAGTTAATTTCTCAATGCATCAACATTCAGTGTCATTAATGGTGCAGTAGAAATGCTGTAACATCAATCCTCATGCAACAGGTGCCGGATGCAGCTACAGCTGGGTCTCCCCTCACAGATCACGCACATTATTATTGCAGCATTTGAAGGCTGCGCTATATTGATATTCCTCAGACATTCTGGTTTCTGGTTTCTAAAGCCTTTATCTTAAGTATTTAACTTGCGCAATTATTGCTCAGTGTTCAGACTCCATTCAGATTTTGATTTGTAGCTAAAGTTTTGACTTGCATTAATAGAATATTCACCATTTCAATCTAGATGTCTTTGCATACTGATTGGTCTTTTCTTTATTGTATCTGTTTAAGCATCTGTAGCTATCTATTGTGTCATGACAACAGCAAAGCAGCATTTCATTTAGAACCAAAGACTAAAACTGAAACACGCCTAAAACTTCAGCACTATTTTTGTGCTGCTTTGCAAGAATTACATTTCCTTCAGGAAATGCGAACCTAGTCTAGAAATGCACTCTGCAGCACTAAATATTCTCTCTTATTCTGTCTCTCTCTCTCTCTCTCTCTGCTGCACACGCTCAGGTGCTGGTTTCCTTTCACAGGTTGAACCTGTTGCTTTTATAATCAGTGCTGGTCTTTTATAGGCCTCGTTTTGAATACACACTAATTTTACTGCTGCTTCATTCCTGTAATGCAGCACCTTTCAAACTCTTTTCTGTTCAATGAAAAGTGTAAATGTTAATACATTAACTAATTAATGGAACTTATTGTAAATTGTTACCCATGTTTTAAAATTCTAAGATTCAGTTTCTGTCATTTTATCAAACAGGATAGAGTGAGAAACCAGTGAAGAGCACAAAACATCAAATAATTCTATTCAATGATGATGTCACTTCCCATTTCTTGGAGGATGATGTCATCAGGCATTTGTTCTTTTGAGGGATTAATATGAAAGTGAGACTAAAGACACAGGAGAAAAAAAAAAAACGAAATTAGTTACCAATTAAAAAAAAATATTCAGAAGAAATGGTTTGATTGAAAAATTTTCATAGAGAAAGAAAAAAAATGAAGAAAAACCTAAAATATTTCTTAATAAATAGTCAAATTTTCATGTTAAAATTAGTATAGTACCCAAAGACATGACAAAAATGACAACGCATAAATTATAACAAGGTCAGAAATTAACCAAATGCCAACAAAATGAACAAAAATACCTCACAGTGAATTCCTTTATTTGTTTAAATTTTATTAGTGTTATATTTATTTTCTTTTAATTAGTTTTATTTACCTTTAAACATTTAATATGTTTCATAATCGTTTGTATTGATTTATGTATGCATGAATTTATTTTACATTCATTTGTTTTATTATTTTTATTTACCTTTTAACATTTGATATATTTCCTAACACTTTATTTTTTATATTTATTTATTTTAATAATTATTTTTTTTATTTATTTTTAACATTTTATTTTTCATAACATTTTTTTTAAATATTTATTTTTACATGACAAAAAGGACATCTGGTCAAGCCAGAGCAGTGCAATGATTCAAGATTCTCCCCATGTTCACTTAATTGTGAAATTGTAGTCAAAAGTTAATCAAATTAAACTAATATGATTTCCATCTTTAAAAAGGGAGTTCAATATTTTAAATCATATTTGATGTGCACAGATAAATGTTGTGAATAACATCTCAGCATTGCATATTGCGTGTCCACACAGCAGGTCTACTGTACAGAATGTGCTTATACAGCCTGAATGTTGGTACTCACTGTGTTTTATATATATATATATATATATATATATATATTAACTTCATAACAAGTGGATGACTGTGCAAAAAACATCAGAATGACTGACTCTAGACATCCTCATTATCTCATCTGTGTTTCATCGCATTGCTGAGAAGGAAAATATTGTGTGTGTGTGTGTGTTTGTGTGAGGCCACACCTCAGTAGACAATAGCAGACAGCGACAATACTGCAGTGCACTGCACGTGTGTGTGTGTGTGTGTGTGTGTGTGTGTGTGTGTTTACACTACTGCAGTATCACTCAAAGCATCCTAGGGCTGATGATGAGTATATAAGTAGTTCAGTTTGAAGTGCAAACTTAACTTTCCGTACCACCTGTTATGTATTTGAGATGAATTCTCGTTTTGTAATGAAATAAATATGGATAAAATAAATAGGGTTTTTAATTGCATATACAATAAGACTGGTCAAAAATAAAAGGATTTACTAGATTAATACAGTTTTAGAGTTTGTTTTTACAGCCTGAATAGGTTTATTCGGTTTAACTGAGATTGGCATTATTTTTGTTTTTATATGGACAATCAGACTTCTCCCTTCATAATGTAAAACGTACTCTATTTGTACACTCTAAAAAAAAAAAAAAAAAAAAAGGTACAAAAGCTGTCACTGGGGCAGAATCTTTTCAAAAGGTACAAATGTGTACATTTAAGGTGCTTATATACATCCTTTAGGGTAAATTAGGTACAAAAGTGTACCTTTTTTTTTTCATCTAATCAATTCCTGATGAATAAAATCACATTTTCTTTCAGAATAACCTGTTTCACACAAAAATATGCCCAATTATGAAAGTAAAATGGGTTAAAAACTGCATTTTTGTGTTAACTTTATGATTGCTGAAACTTTAGCATAAACTATCTTATGAATTCTATTTGGAAGTGTCAAGAAACATCAGCGTATATTAAATTACAAATCATGCACGTTTAAAGCTAATTCTTCCTGATTCAACAGTTGTTTCTCTTTTTTGACATTTATAACAAGTTTTTGATTGCGGTTTATTTAGCACAGCGCTTTATTTGAGAATAATTCTGCCTGAATTGCTTTTTAATTCCTAAACAATCAGTAATTCAGCGGGTGAGATGTCAGGGTCAGCTGGCTTAGATGGATGCTGTATAATTTTATTCAGTTCAGTACAATGAATTGAATTGAGCTGGCACATTCAGTCTGTCACTGCTGAATGTATCTGCACTGAAATAGAGAATTGTGGTCTGTATTTGAATTGATCTCTTGAGTTTGGATTTTGAAATGGAACTGGCTCGATCCTCAAGTGACCAGGTGGCTCAGCTTGGCACGTAAACACGTACATTAGCAATGTAAAGTTTTAGCATGAATGCAGTTCGCCTCTTTCCAATCCGATAGAACATTAGAGCAAACACTCAAGCTGTGAGACAAGAATGGGCCATATTTAAATCTTTAATATAATATCAAATTCATTAAATTATTTTTTTTTACAAGTTAGTTTCAAGATTTCAGTTTATATTTAAATGAAATTCTCTTCAAAACAAGCACAAAACTTTAACTAAATCCAATGTTATTTTGCTTTAAACTACATTAGTTCAGTGAACAGTTCAAACAAATGAGTCAGTTTAGAATGTCTGTGAATTACAGTAGTTGATGGAAACTCATAAAAATGTGTCCAAAAGTCATATTTTTCTTTTGTTTATTTACTTTTTAACCTATGATGTATTTCATAGTATGTATTTATATTTATATATTTATTTTATTTCATGATAAATTATTTTTATATTTATTTGATATGCTTTTTTAACAAATGATGTATTTTATAATATATTATTTTTATACTTTATAATATATTACTTTTTAACATTTGATATATATTTTTATTGTTTTTATACTTTTTAACATTTAATGTATTTCATAATATTCTATTTTAAGCTTCACCCTGATCCTTGTTTATTATTCACTGCTTTTT